CAATAGCTTAAGCAGAGTGGGTGGTTTAGGAGCAGCCAGGAAAATGAGCTCTGGCCCACACGCCCCAGACTGAAGGAAGTCAGACAGCAGGCCCAAAAGCAGTAGCATGAACATTCCACTTCCGATGTTTGTCCTTTCCATTTGGTTTCCATGGAACCCTGTATTGGGGGAAGAGGGGAAAGTGTATCCAAAAGCACTGATTTGAGTTCTTTAACAAAATAAGGAACAGAATTTCAAGATGACAAAAAAAGAGAGAGAAGAACATTTAAGGGATGGGTAAGGGACCAATGGGTAAGAACTATAGATAACTAACATTTTCAGAAATCAAGCTCTAAGATTAATTTTGAGAGCACCTGATTGATTGCCATTTCTACCTCAATGCTCTTTAACAGAATCTAGAAGAGGCTGCATGCATCTTTGGGACTTGTAAGTATTTTCCATCCAATCCGCAACCTGAAATTGCAATTGTTATGTTTTGGGGACTAAGGCTGAGGAACTCCATCCCTTTAGTTTTTAAAAAGCCTTGTGACTCAGCAAGCCAGCCTGCATCTCTGAGTCATCCATATATTCTGGAATTCAACATTGCTACCTATGATTGAAATTAGCTAAAAGGGAAATAACTAAGAGATAGAAATGAACATGGCAAGTCAGAACTCCTAAGATCCTGAACCTCAATGAAAAGCTGAGTCTAACAGACTTAATAAAGTTGGAAGAAGGCCAGAATTATCTCTCATACCATCATGCCTTCCCTTTCAAGCTCAGCCCCCCACTGATTCTGGCACCAGCCTGAGATGACAACTTATGTTTCATCTTTGCAGGACCTGTTAACTAATTGTCAACAAATCATAGAAACATTTTTTGCTAGCCCTAAAATAGTGATACTATCAAGAGTATTTGCATTTTTAAAAAATACATTTGGAGTTGGAATTCATCTCTAATTGGTGGGCTATTAAACATAGTGGCAGGTAGTGGGAAGAAGATGGTATCATATTTCTAAAATTATACCCTGTGAGGGATTCACCTGCCCAGTAGCATGGTGGTGAAGGGATGAAAGCAAAGGCTGTGTACTCCACATCCCACATAGTGCCACAATGTGCTACATACCAAAAGGAAAAGCATCAAACATCTAAAGCATTCATTCATTCATTCATTCATGACATATGATTGAGCTCCCCTTATGTGTCAGGTGCTAGAAATACTGCAGTGAACAAAACTGACATCTGACTAGAGGTTAAAAATTCTACAAATGATAATAGAATACATTAACACATGAAGTAAATTATGCAAATAGTAAAATTCATTATTTCTTTTTTTTTCTGTAATACTGTAAAAAATGTCACATCATTTGACATGTAAGAACTAATAACAGTACAATATCATGAATAAATCTACTGCTACCAGGTCTTTTTGAGCTCCACCACCTGTCCTCCTTCATCAAGCATATTTTCTCTGGAAAAATTGATCTAAGAGCATGACATTACTTCCTCTAAAAGCTGGGCAATTTCCACCCCTTTATAACTATTTCTTTAACTGAGCCTCAATTTCCTCATCCATAAAATCAATCATTAACAGGGGTCATGGGGAAACTTAATTGAAATAATATGTGAGAAAGCTCTTGGTACAGTACTTAGCGTATACTAGGTAAGAAATTCATTTTTTAAATTATGCAGTGGTTATATCTATTGGTTAGCAGCACCCCCATATTAATCAAATTGTCTTGAATCCACACTCTACCTCTGCTCCCTCCACCCAGGATCTCTTCCTTTTCTTCTGGAAAATACCGTTTCAACTCTCAGAATCCTTCCCGATGAAGTTCACATGCTCCCTTGTCCCACAAACCCTGAGAGTTGACCCTTGCTTCCTCCTTCTCTTCTCCCCACCCTTTCTCCTTCCTTCCTCTTCTTGCTCCTCTCTTTCCCAGTGCTAGATTTGTTATTTGTTTTCAACAAAGTTTTTCAGCGATTTTCTTTTTTCCAATTATTTTTCTCTTACTAGACTTTGATCTTACTAAGGGCTTTAATCTCTTGTTCTTTTTTGCATCTTGACTAAGATAAATACTTGAGAAAATAAATAAATGGATGGTTATCTCATTGGTAAGGTAAACTTTGAATAATCACTCTTTTTGCTCCTGTTGCACTTTCTTTTTCTAATATGCACAGCATGAGCTTACCATATGAGAAAGAACCTGTGTTGTAAATCTTCAGATGGAAAAAGAAGCAATGATGGCTCTTCAATAAATAGAAACTTTTCATTAACTTGGCGGGTGAACCCAAATTGGGGTCAGAGATAGTCTGAAAGGACTAGCCATGGGATCTGAACAAACAGAATGGGTATGGACAAGAGAGGACTGAGATAGGTACTGGCGTCACACACTTCAACGTCTATAGGGTCCTTTCCACACATCCCCTCTCTGGGGCCTCAGCTTAACCCTCCATACAGCAGCCCATGAAGTCTCTTTAGGCATCTGGGTGTTTCTTTATCTCTTTGCCTTCAGACTATGGACATCACCAGCCACCCTGCTTTGACCTCTCTAAGTAGACCCTTAGGAAATAAGCTCCAGGATCATAACCATAATTCCAGTGTCCATTTACCTGAGAGTACCACAATCAAAGAGCTCCAATTCCTGCATACTTTCTCCATTATAGCAGGAGGAGAACCAATATTATGTTCCTAATGATAAGCCTATGGCCCAACAGGATCCCTAAGTACCTTCTAATCAAATTTAAATACTTCCAGTGTAATTTCCCCATAATGTGTGCTTTATTAAATGCTAAGTCTTTGAAAATGGGTGACTTTTCTATATTGTATTATGGTGCTGGCCCCAAATTTCTTAACATGACCTTCAAGACTCTCCACAGAATGATCCCAGACTACCTTCCTCAGCTTATCTCCTCTGTGCGTGTCCCTTCTGCTCCCACACTCCAGGGAAGACCAGTCAGGGTTTTCATTGATTGTAGTTTCCTCCAGGACCTGCTGCCAAGTGCTCCAGAAAACCTCAGCATGGCCCTTTCCATTCAACTCTCAATTCAGACTGTCAACTCCACAGAGAAAGCAGAAGCTGGGATATAAAAGTCCATGAATGCATCTCCTTCACTGCAGCATTTTAAGCAGCCTTCCACCGCACTCCTCACTAGCACTACTGGTTGGTGGGAGCCTACGCCTCTCTTCTTCTGTAGGAAGCTATTTGAGGATCCCATCTGCTGACTCCAGTATGGTCTTTACAAGACTTGTCTCTTCCCTATCGCCACCCCAGAGAGACTCATCCCTTCTTCCTTCTATTGTTATTTTATTATGCAGTAAAAGGCGTATATTGTTAAGATCAGGCGTAGGTGGGGGTGGGTTGTGTGGGGAATGAATCCCTTGGCTCCTAGTGGGCTCTGCTGGCTGAAAAGTATCCCTTGTTGAATGTCTTTCATGCATCTGGGTCATCTTTCTGAGTCTCCTGCAAACCCATTCCTGGGCCCACCCAACCCTAGAGTGTGCAGGGCAGATGTGGAGACAGGACTGAGCTGTGCCCGTTTGCTTCTGATTGGAAAGGGCGGGATGTCTCTGTGTGCCTCACCATCCAGACATTTTTCATGGTGCTATTTTTATCAACAGTAATCATTAAATTGGTATCACATGCGCTGGTCCAGTTTCTCACCCTGAGGCTGGGTGATGGTTCTCCAGGTTTTTTCCAGGCAAGAGGAACGTGGTATGCTACCCATATGAATGCATCTTTGAACCCCGGGCCTCATGAGGGACCTCAGGAACCCCACAGCATGCTCCTGTGGCAGAAAGAGCAAGGCTTATTATCATTCCTGGTTCTTTCTTGACCTGATCCATGTAACAGATGTATGTTGAGAGCACGTTCTAGATTAAAAAAAAAAAAAAAAAAAAAAAATTATCTCTATCCCCTGAGAAACTTGCATACCACCAGAAGGGATTGTCATGTGAAGTTGCAGTGTCTACTAGGAAATGTATATTATAGATGTACTGATAAAGAATATTGTGGAGGGAGGATTTGTTCTGTCTGGACCCTTAGAAAAAGCTTCATGGATGTGGTCACTTTAGTCAGGGCTTCAAGGATAAGTAGAATTAACTGGATGAAAGCATAGGAGAAGGCTTCCCAGGCAGAAGGAACCAACGATAAAGGCATAAAAGATGACTCCATAGATTCATCCCAAACCCAACTGTGAATTCATTGAGGGGTTTCCCAGACCCATACCTGCACTGACCCCTGTCCTGGGAGGTTGTGAAGAAGAGGTCCTGGTGCAGGACTGCCAACCTGGTTCTTCAGAGGGTCCTGACCAGAGAGCCATTTATAAGCATACCAGACTCTGGGTTTCAGAATTTGAACCTTGAGAAGGTCCCAGAAGTGAGGGTTGGCCTATAGTGGCAATGGTGGCAGAAAATGTTGAAGTTAGATATAAACTGGAGACCTCTGCCATGGTCTGCTCATAGTCTTGTGATTGAGAACCTAACTCCTGAATAAGAACCAAGGCTCCTCACTAGCCACAGGAAACAAGGGTGAATCTATATGGAGACTAAGCACCAAATTTTTAGATTCTAAATCTTTCAGTTCAGATTATACTTCTTTTAACTAAAGGCCTGGCAGTGGAGGGTGAAATTTTACAGAAAACCAAGATGGGGCATGGCAGGAAAACTGGAAGAAATGTGGCAGTGGATGGTAGCAAAAAGTGCATTTGCAGATGTCCTCAGCACTCCTGGGCTTGGCGCACTGGTTTTCATTTCCTCTGGCCAGACATTCCAAACCCCACCCCCAACAAGTCACATGGATCTGCAGGCACAGCCTTGCAGGGTACCACGAGTGTTGCTGGAAAGGCCTCCCAACGGGTTGACAGCCAGCTGGAAGAGCCTGGGGCCACCTGTCTGGTCAGGAGCTTCTCTGCTGTGGGCCTCTTGGAGCCAGGGCTGGCTCTGTGGTCTGACTAAAGTGACAATGAAATTAACAGGATCCTGATGCTGTGATGAGGCCATTTTGCTGTGTCTCCACACAGGGATGAGAGAAGAAATGTCATTTGGACGCCAGGAAGCTTTTGAAATCTTCAAGAGGGACCACGCTGACAGCATTACCATTGAAGACAACAAACAGACTCTGAAACAGAGGTAAGTGGCTCTGAGAGCAGCGAGTCCTCCAAGGTTTAGCTAGGCCAGCCTAGAGGAAATTCGCTACTCTGTTCTTCGTAATCTCCCCAACATAATTTTTCAAAGACAGACCAGACATTTATACAGTTTCACATTTAATTGTGTTCAGCCTGGTACGATTCTCTTTCTTATGTTTAAACCTTGTACTCCCAGTTCTACCAGGCTAAGCAACTTTTTTAGGCCAAGACCCAACACTGACAGCATTACTTTTATACACAATTCTCACATCATCCGTTAATTCTCATCAGCCTGCAACTCTGTTGCTATCTTATGGTTCCAAAGGCAGGGGGTAAAAATCTATGAACCTAATTATATTCCTAGAGTTCCTGGCCCTCCAGCTGATCTGGAGAGCATTCTTGCATTTCTTAATCAAAGGAAGCATATACACATCCTGTGACTCAGAGGCCTTTGGTACGTTCTCCAGGCCAAAATCAGAGCAGGCAGGATTATCCACTGGCATGATCTCAAGTAAGGCCCCTTTAGAAAAAACTTAAATGTATAACATTTTTTTCCACTAACCTAAAAATTAAGGAGCTCTGGTAGCATAATGGCTAAGTCACTTGCCTGCTAACCAGACGGCTGGCGGTTCAAACCCACCAGCCACTCCTCGGAAGGAAGGTTGGGCAATCCTACTTCCGTAGTGATACTGCCTCGAAAACCCAAGGAGGGGTCGCTATGAGTCGGGGCCGACTCGATGGCACATAACAACAACAACAACAACAACCTAAAAATTGAATGTATATCCTCAACTGTAGCAAACAGAAAGGGGGCCAGATGAATGCCTCTAGAGCTCAGAAAAAAAAGAATTCTAGACTATGAATTCTCATGTGTCATATATGACCCTGAATCTTAGCACACAGTAAATTTTCAAGAACTAGTCATTGAATTAAAGTAAAATCCAAATCCAGGAGTCATATGATCATAAATTGCAATTCAAGGAAGTCAAAGATGTGAACAAGTACTCTCAGGAAAACATATGGAAGTGCAAAGGCACTGCCAATGCCTCTTACATGGTGGGTGGGGTGTTAGTGAAGGGCTGGTGTGTGCACAATCCTCTGCTTGTCACCCCTTGCTGGGTAGAGGGGAGAAGGAGGGGCAAATGGCAGGAAGGAGAAGGGGGGAGGGAGTGGCATGTGGGTGCATGTAGTATAGTGCATTGGCAGTAAAACCATATGCACACCCACCCATCACTCACCCCTCTCATCTGACAGGAATCAGTGACCACATCATACTAGCCAGCCACAACCACCACGTGCTACCTCGTCCACATGGTGAGTGCCACTGCCTGTTCCTGCACCATTAAACCAATGACAGACAGCAGTCAACACCCACCCAACACCCCCTCAGTCACCTCATAGGATCAGCAGAGACCCATGCTCACACACTAGCTGCTACCCTACCCACCCAGAGACAATTCATGAGTGTGCCGTAGCAACCAGAGAAGCATGCCCATCCCACCTGCCCACATAACATCAAAACAAAGCATAACCAAAAACTCAGGACATACTGAACAAACTTACAATTAGTAAATAAATATAATAACACCTTCATGCACTGGAAACAACAAACACTATCCAATCAATTAAAGAAGTGGGACAAGATAACTCCAGAAAGTGAGCAAGAAAACCAGGAAGGCTCCCTAAGGAAGAAATGGTAATGGAACTACCAGATAAGAAATTCAAAAGACTTAAAAATAGGACCCTCCAAGAGATCAAAAAAAGAAATCAAGGAAAACACAGACAAGTTCTAGAAGAATTCAAAGAAAAAAATGACTAAATAGACAATGAGAAACCATACAAAAATAGCAATAGGAAGTTCAGAAGATTAACACTAGGATTTGAGAAATAGATAATTCATTAGAAGGACAAATGAGTAGAATTTAATCAATGAAAGTGAGAATCAGCAAAAAAGAACAAATCCCTTGATACCAAGTTGTCAGAAGATCAGTCATAAAAAATAAGTAAAGAAAAATGAAGAAAGCCTAAGAGTTATGTGGAATATCATCAAGAGGAATAATTTGTACATGATCAGACCCCCCCAAAAAAGCATATCAAAAATTTTCAAAGATTTGCTTGCAGAAAATTTCCGTAACATCATGAAAGATAAGAAGACAGCCATCCAAGAAGTTCGATGAACACCAAATAGGATAGACTGCAAAAGAAAAATCACCAAGACATAATATAATCAAACTTTCCAAAACCAAAGACAAATAATCCTGAGAGCAGATCAGGAAAAACCAAATGGTAACCTACAAAGTGGAACCAAGAAGACTAAACTCTGATTTCTTGGCAGAAACCATTCAGGTAAGAAGGTGAAACGATAATATATATACAACTCTGATAGGAAAACATTGCCAACCAAGAATTATATATCCAGCAAAACTGTCTCTCAAATATGATGGCAAAATTAAGACATTTCTAGATAAACAGAAATTCAAATTTGTAAAAATTAGACCAACCTTAAAAGAAATGCTAAAGAGAATTCTTTGGACAGAGAACCAACAACAGCAGACAACAACCTTATGTTAAGACACATTACAACATCACCCAGAAACCAAGTCAGATAAAGAACTTTCAAAAGTAAAATAAAGCTACAAAACTGAAAATAGGGAACTAGAGATGTCAATCTGTAAACAGCAGCAACTTCAAAACAAAAAGAAGGAATAAATGGTCTAGTTACAGAACTTAGGAACTCTGGTGGCGTAGTGCCTAAGGCATTTGACTGCTAACCAGAAAGCTGGCAGTTCAAACCCACCAGCCACTCCTCAGAAGGAAGATGGAGCAATCTACTTCCATAGTGATACTGCCTAGGACCAAAGGAGAGGTTGCTATGAGTTGGATCCAACTCAACGGCAGTGAGTTTGGTTTCTGGTTTTCTGTTACAGAACTTACTTACAGAGAGGAAGTTAAGGCAGTATCAAATTGTTTTAAACTTAGGAAGAGAAAAATAACTTTCAGGGTGACTACGAAGAAAATTAAACCTTCTCACTAAAATGAAAAAGAAGAAAATCATAAAAACTCAGTAAACATAAAATCATTATCAGTGAAAGGAATAAAATGAAAATCCAAACACAAAATAATTCAGCCCAGAAAAGTATACAGAACAAAGAATCATCAGCACTGTACACACATACACACACACAAACACTCAACAAAATGACAGCAGTAAATTCTCATACCTATTGATGATTGCACTGAATGTTAATGGATTAAATGCATCAGTCAAGAGACAGAATAGCAGAATGGGTAAGAAAACATGACCTTGCTGCCTACAAGAGAGACCCATTCAACACAAAGATAAAAATAAGTTAAAAAGTAAAGGATGGAAAAAATATTTCAAGCAAATGACAACTAAAAAAGAGCAGAAGTGGGAATATTAATCTCTGATAAAATATACTTTAAGGCAAAAACCAGCAAAAGAGACAAGGAAGGACATTATATAATGACCCAAGGATCAATCCAACAAGAGGACATAAACATGATAATGATCTCTACACACTGGTGGTAGAGCCCCAAAATACATAAATCAAACTTTAACAGAATTTTTTTAAAAGAGAAATAGACAACTCCACTATAACAGGAGATTTTAACCAATCACTTTCAATGAAAGATAGAGCAAGTAGAAAGAAACTCAACAAAGATACAGAAGATCTAAACAACACAATCAACTAACTTGATCTCATAAACACTCCACTGAACAGCAGCACAATACACATTCTTTTCTAGTACACATGGATCATTCCCCAGGATAGAATATACATTAGGCCACAAAGCAAGCATCAGTGAATCCAAAGACATTGAAATAATGCAAAGTATCTTTTCAGATCACAACTGCTATAAAATTAGAAATCAACCTGTTACAAAATTAGAAATCAACAGCAGGAAGAACAAGGGGAAAAAATCAAGTACATAGAAACTACTTAAAAACCACTGGGTAATAGAAAAATAAATAAATAAATAAACCAAACTCACTGCCATGGAGTCGAATCCAACTCACAGTGACCCCTCTTTGGGTTTCCAAGGCAGTATCACTACGGAAGTAGATTGCCCAGTCTTCCTTCCGAGGAGTGGCTGGTGGGTTTGAACCACCAGCCTTCTGGTTAGCAGTCAAATAATATCCTAGAATCAAATGAGAATTAAAACACAACATATTAAAATCTTTGGGACACAATAAATGCAATGCTCAGAGGTCAATTTATAGTGATAAATAAACACATCAAAAATGGAGAAAGAGCCAAAACCAACACCTTGACCCTATAACTCCAAAAAGTAGAAGAAGAGCAGCAAAAAAGTCCACAATCTCCAGAAGAAAGGAAATCATAAAGATCAGAGCAGGAAAGAAATGAAACAGAAATCAGAAAAACAATGGAAAGAATTAACTAGACTAGAAGTTGATTCTCTGAAAGGATTAATAAAATCAACAGACTACATAATGCCTAAGGCATTTGACTGCTAACCAGAAGGCTGACTGTTCAAACCCACCAGCCACCCTTCGGAAGGAAAATTGAGCAATCTACTTCTGTGGAGATACCGCTTCGGAAACCCAAGGAGGGGTTGCTACGAGTTGGATCTGACTCGATGTCAACGAGTTTGGTTTTTTAACAAAGGAAAGGAGGGAGAAAATGCAAATCACACAAACCAGACATTAAATGGATGACATTACAACAGAACCAACTGAAATAAAAAGGAAATTGTGAAGAACTGTATTCTAAAAAATTTGAAAATATAGAAACGGAAAATTTTCTAGAAACACACTACCTGCCTAAACTAACAGAGACTGAGGCAGAAAATTTTAACAGACCCATAATAAAAGGAGAAATAGAACAGATTGGAAAAAAAAAACAAAAACTCCCAACAATAAAAAAAGGCCTGGCCAAGATGGCTTCACTGGAGAATTCTACCAAACATTCAGAGAGGAGCTGAAACCAATTCTCCTCAAATATTCTAGAACATAGAAAAGGA